ATTCCATATATTAGTAGTATCATACAGTATTTGTCTTTCTCAGTCTGACTTATTTCAGCAAGAATAATGGTCTCTAGGTCCATCCACGTAACTACAAATAGCAGAATTTCAGTCTTTTTTATGGCTGAGTAACATTGCATTGTGTAAATACAACACAGCTTCTTTATCCAGTCATCTGTTGATAGACACTTGGGTTGCTTCCACGTCTTGGCTATTGTAAATAGTGCTGCTATGAACATTGGAATGCATGTATCTTTTTGAATTAGTGTCTTCAGAGTCTTTTTGTTTCTGTTTTTGTTTTTGGATTATATACCCAGGAGTGGAATTGCTGGATCATATGTTAGTTCTATTTTTATTTTTTTAAGGAATCTCTGTGCTGTTTTCTGTGGTGGCTGCACCAGTTTGCATCTTCACCAACAGTGTACAGGGGTTCCTTTTTCTTCACATCCTCACCAAACATTTGTTATTTGTGGAATTTTTGATGACAGCCGTTCTGGCAGGTGTGAGGTGATATCTCATTGTGGTTTTGATTTGTATTTCTCTAATAATTAGCAGTGTTGGGCATATTTCCATGTGCCTGTTGGCCATCCGTATGTCTTCTTTGGAAAAATGTCCATTCAAGTCTTCTGCCCATTTTTTCATTGTTTTTTTTTATTGAGTTGTATGAGCTGTGTTTATGTATGTATGTGTATATGTACGTATGTGTGTATATATATACACATATGTATATGATATTAACCCCTTGTTGGTTGCATCATTTGCAGATTTTTTTTCCCATTCTGCAGGTTGTCTTTCATTTTGTCAGTGGTTCCCTTTGCTGTACAAAAGCTTGTAAGTCTGATTAGGTCCCATCTGTTAATGTTTGCTTTTATTTCTTTTACCTTAGGAGACAGATCCAAGAAAGTATTGCAATTTATGTCAAAGAGTGTTCTGCCTATGTTCTCTTCTCGGAGTTGTATGGTTTCTGCTGTTATGTTTAGATGTTTAAATCATTTTGAGTTTATTTTTTGTATATGATGTAAGGGAATGTTCTAATCTCATAGCTTTACATGTGGATGTCCAGTTTTCCCAGCACCACTTGTTGAAGAGACTGTCTTTTCTCCATTGTATATTCTTGCCTCCTTTGTCATGGATTAATTGACCATAAGTGTGTGGGTTTGTTTCTGGGCTCTCTATTCTGCTCCTTGATCACAAGCAGAGTCCAGGCTTCTCTCAGCCCTCCTGTAAGTCCAAACAGTGCTCCAACCAGCCAGAGGGGCTAGTCTCCCTCATGTAGGACCCCAGGGCTGGGGCATCCACTCTGTGACTCACTGCTCAATCCCCAGGGCAGGTCGCTGCCCATATTTTCTCCCATTTCCTCTGAAATGGGGGGCACAAGTCCTTTTTCCTCTTTACCCAATTACAGGTGGATCTTTCCTTTTCAGGGGCACAAGTCCTTTTTCCTCTTTACCCAATTACAGGTGGATCTTTCTTACAGCCTTGATTGTATGGGAGTCCTTCTACCAGTTTTCAGTTCATTTTTAGTGAGGATCGATCCACATGTAGATGTATTTTTGATGTGTTTGTGGGGAGAGGTGGGCTCCATATCCTCTTACTCTGCCATCTTCGTTTATCTTAGCCTTTAATTTTAAGAATTGCTGTGATATGTAGTGATATCTCTTTGTGGTTTTAATTTTTTATTTTAAAAGAAAAATGATGTTGGACTTACTTTCATGTGTTTATTTACCATCCACAGATCTTGCTTTTGGACGTATATACTCAAATTGTTTGCCTAAATATTTACTGGACTTTTTTTACTGTTGGGTTTTAAGAGTTTCTGATATATATATTCTGGATATAAGTCCTTTATCAAATATATAACTTACAGATTTTTTTTCAATCTATAGATTGTCTTTTTATTCTTTTAATAGTGTCTCTTAAAAAGCAGAAGTTTTTAATGAGGTCCAGTTTATCAATTAGTTCTATTATGAACTATGCTTTTGATGTCGTATCAAAGGACTCTTTGCCTAACCCAAGTTCATAGAGGATTTTTTACTAGGTTTTCTTCTATAAATTTTATACTTTAGGTTTTGCATGTAGGAGTATGATAAATTTTCAGATAATTTTTAAATAGGTTACAAGTGTTTTTCAAAACTTTTTTTCTGGATATGCATATCAAATTATTCCAACACCATTTTTTGAAAAGAGTATACTTCCTCCATTGAATTGTCTTTGCACCTTTCAAATCAGTATTTTTATACATATTCATATAGGTGATCTATCCCTTCTGTTCTGTCTACCTTGACACCTATAAACATTGTCTTAAATACTGTAGCTTCCTAATGAGTCTTAAAATTAGTTCGTGTGGGTCTTACAGTTTTTTCTTTTCAACAGTGTCTTGGCTATTGTAAATCCTTTGAATTTCCATAGGAATTTTGGAATTATCTTGTCAATTCTACAACAACAACAAAAAGCCTGCTAAGATTTTGAATAGAATTGCATTGAATCATTTTGTGGAGCACTTACATCTTAACAATACTAAGTTTAATAGCATATGAACACACTATATATCTCTCCATTAATTTAGGTCTTTTATTTCTCTCAGCATATACTAAGAAAACAATTGATTACTAGTCCAGCCTGAAGCACTTTGGAAACACAAGCTTTTGCTTTCACATTCATTTTCATTTATTTTAACTCTTGTTAACCATCACCATCCTGTTCAACTTATCTTAAGCTGTTTCAGTCTAACCCCGCTTCCTGGACACACCCTCCATGACGAGTCTCTTCAGATAGGCTTCTTTAGCTATTTGCCTACAGCTAGCATTCTCCTGTTATTTTTCATCTCATTATGAGAAGTAATTCTCTGGAAATTTGGCAGACGGAATACCACAAAGAGAGGAATGGCAAGAGCACTCAAGCTCATAGTGCAGGTTTAATGTGTAAAAAGCACTTTCAGATGATGAGCTATGACTGAACCACCTCATACCAGGGGCTCCCTGGGCTTTCTCAGTGAATTTGAAGCCAAAGTTCTTTAGGAATTGAAAGCAAACAGGTAAGTTGTGAATGCTCCAATCGCCTCCTTGGACTGTAGTAAGCATGTGAGAACGCGAAGGCTACATTAAAATTAAACTGAATTTCTAACATTCTTGTGAACCAGAGGCCAATCTGAGCCAAATATATCCTCTCCTGATTCAGTAAACCCCTTTCAGTCCCTTGGTTCACTATAGGAATCATAAAAACCAAAACATGGTCTTTATTAGTTAACTACTGATCTACTTTCTTTTTGATCAAACACATAGGTCATTTGAGGACATTTTATTTATCAGAGTTGCAGAGAAGAGTCTAGAAACACACTGCCTGTTCTCATAGAGGATTCTAATTTGTTATGTCAAGATCCCATTTTTCTTTCCCATCACACCCCAGCTGACCTCTGTGTTAAAACTTGGCCACTGCTGCTCTGAAGCAGAAGTTGAAAGCTGGAAGTTTTCATTTCAATTTTTTTTGTTTTTAATATTCTTTGTTTAACTTTGTTGTCCTTAGAGTTAATCTTCTGGTTTAAAGCAAATGCTATGTATGCAAAAAGACATCTTCATCATCACCATGAGACATTTTGGCTAAAACATACTGAGAACCTACTTTTACTCCCAAATATAATTTTATTTTACTAAACAGTAAATTTGAATTTAAAAGAATACAGTCACATTTGTGTTGCTCACTAAGCATCTTTTAACTTTTGCTGTGCAGTGTGTTATTCAACTTTTTCATATGGTTTGTAAAAATCCAGGAAATTCCACTGAAATGAAAAATAATTCTAATCTTGCAGAACTTTTCATGTTGATGGTCTGGAATGCTAGAACAATCTAGAAAATCTTAAACATTCATGCATCTTAATTAAGATAACACCAATTAATTATATGGATAATATTTGAAGTTCAGGTAATAGCCAAATGTTTAACAAAACATTTTCATCTGTAATGCTTGGATAAAAGTCTTACAGAAGATCTTGAGTTTGCTAATACTTAATTTTACTTTTCTATGGCTGGAGTGTCTTCTTTTTTAATTGCTTCATCTAGTAAAAACATACAACAAAATTAAGTCTCTATTTCTCGTATCTTACCCTACAATTTTGTGCAAAATGCAATCCCTAATAATAGAAACACTCAACACAGCAAGAAGTAATCCTCTGTAAATAAGATGACCTTTATCCAAGTGGTCACTTAATTATGTTCAAATGAGAAAAAAATCTAAGATAAATTGGTACTGGGGAGTTATGTACTTTTGTGTCTCTGTGTTCTAGTTTTTTTTATACTTGAAGTATAGTTGATTTATGTGTTATTTTCAACTGTATAGCAAAGTGATTCAGTTATATATATATATATACTATCATACATACATACATATATATATATATATATATATATATATATATATACACACACACACACATATAAATGTATGTATATACCATATCTTCTTTAGCCATTCAACTGTCAATGGACATTTAGGTTGCTTCCATGTCTTGGCTATTGTAAATGGTGCTGTTGTGAACATTGGGGTGCACATATCTACTTTTCTATTCATCGACAGATAGATAGATAGATAGATAGATACACACACACACACACACACATCAGGGAGCATAATTCCTCCAGCTTCCGTCTTCTTTCTCAAAATTGTTTTAGCTATTCAGGGTTTTTTGTGTTTCCATACAAATTTTAAAATTAGTTCTGTGAAAAATGCCATTGGTAATTTGATAGGGATTGCATTGAATCTGTAGGTTGCTTTGTGTAGTATAGTCATTTTGAAAATACTGCTTCTTCCAGTCCAAGATCACTGTATATCTTTCCATGTATTTGTGTCATATTCAGTTTCTTTCATCAGTGTCTTACAGTTTTCAGAGTATGGGTCTTTTGCCTCATTAGGTAGGTTTATTTCTAGGGATTTTTTTTTTTGATGCAATGGTAAATGGAATTGTTTCCTATGTGTTCTACTTATTTATGAGAAGAAGAGAAAAAGTTTAAATAGTTATTTAATTACATTATAAGGACATCTGAATTCAATAAAATCTTTGAGAAAGTCCAGAATTTTTATATTAAGATATATATTACAGTTTGTTATTAATTACAAAGAAACTTTAGTACTTGGTGTCTTCTTTTCCATCGTATCAGTGTCATTTTGCAACCTAAAACATCTGGATACACAGAATCTGTGAATTAAATAAATAATAAGATGAAAAAAACCTCTCTGCCATCGTAAGAACAACAATAAAAATAGTTTAAAAAACCACAGAGACTCCAAGATCGTCAGCTTTGTGGAAACAAGGATTTTTGTTTCATACACTGATGCACGCAAGCTGTCCAATAGTGTCTGGCACATACTAGGTCTTCAGTATTTATTGAATGAATAAACCTTGTGGACTATTTCAAGGTCTAATCAGAAATGTATGATTTTCATTCCCTATAATAAAAAAAAACTATGAAAGTTGAGCCACATATCATGTATAGAAAATAGAAAAACAAAGGAGAGCTAAGGAAAGAAGTAAAAAGAAAAAATAAGAGAAGATAAAATAGACTTGACATTAGAGAATGGAAAAATCAGTTATTTTGATTAGAAAGAGAAATGGGTCTAGGGATGTTATACCCTCCCATACTGGAAAAGAACACCAGTGAGAGTCGTAGAAAAGAAAACTAATCTGCATTGGAATTAAGAGGCTTCTGGTAGACTAACTGGAGCCCAGCATGCATTAAATGCCTGCACATACCTGTTCGGGTAGAGTTTGGGAAGTAGGAAAAGAACATTAGGAAGGAATACAAATTTAAAGCAGTAAGTTAAATCCTGTTGACTCTAAATAATTGGTATATCATAATATGTATCCAGTATTGACTTAAAGCCCTGTTATCCCCATAAACACAAATACTATAATTCTCTACAGTAGGCTAACGGGAAGATGGTAATGAGCAAAGAATAAATGAGAACAGGATGAACAGACAATCCAAAGTGGAGATCTACCTCCAGCTTATGTGTAAGGGAAACTGTGAAGTCATGTTCATAACTGATTGAAAATCACTTACACATTCACCTGAGGCTGGCTTTACCAGCCATGGATCCAAGTTGCTGGGAGAAGCAGGGCAGTCGCCATCTCTCACAGAGGGCCTGAGTTGTGGCTTCAGGGAGCTCTGTCCGAACATGATGTGATCCAGTGACTAGAGGTTTGAAGAACAGAGTTTTCCTTCACCTCTCACAATAAAGTACACAACAAAAAAGAGCTGAACCCCTAGCTGAAATTGGGCTGGGGTTTAGTGCATACGACAATCAAGAAATCATAACAGAAATCTGGTCATAAGGTAAGGTTTGGGAGGAGGACAGATGGCTGGTGAATGTATACAAAAACAACTACTTCGGGTACTCTGTGAGCCAGGCCAATTCCAACTCTACCTACTAGATCAAATAAACGTATGTCCACACTCACATGTAGAAAATCCGTGTAGAAAATGCACAGCAAGACAGCCTATGTGTTCAGTGTCTTTGATACCCATAAATGGAAAGGTCCCATACCAAATACCCCTTGAACCATGGGTTGACCTGAAATTCCATGCCTATATTTTATGGGTTAAAAACATTGCTAATTACCAATATTGAATAAATTAAGGGGGAAAAAATCAATTGTGAATGAATAAGCAAATAGCATATCTCATTGCTAATCCCCTCCATTGTTTTATGCCCATATGACTCATGTAACATTTATAAAGCAGAACCTGGTTTTCCTAAAAAAAATCCTGCAGAAAATTAAAGAATGCTTTCAAAATTAAAAAAAAAAGAAAATAATTATTTTCTGCTTCTCTAAGTAGAGAATAGAACTGAGTAAGTGTAGTGTGCTGCCACCTTTATTTCTACTGGAGGTCACTGGAGTCACCCTGTACCATATTCCATTTTCTGGCCTTTGACTTGAGGCCCCTCGCATGCATGTTCAATTTCCCACCACTCCAGGGTCACTGGTAACATGGCAACTTTCCACATGCAAAAGGAAAATTAACAAACTTATATTATTCTTTGTCTGGGTTTTTAAAAAAAAAAACATACATCAGAGGGAGCTTACACTATGCAAATGCTCAGCTGCCAACACAGCACAGATGGGCTCAGGAACAGAGAATGATGTAGATCGGCAGGACCAGAGCAGTCTGTGGGAAGTCTGGGCAGAAGATCTGATGCAAAAGACAGTAAAGGACTATTGAATGCTCCATGATAGATGTGCTTGTTCCCTTGCCCGGATGCCCTTTGAATATAGACATTTTGATCTCCAAGGCTGACCTGAAAAAAAGATAGTTTAATCTAGTTTTGAAAGAATAGCCCTACTGCACAAACAATGGCTCACAACGTTAAAACATACCAACTAAAATAGCAAAGGGATTTCATATCTCATTAAACCAGCTATCCTGTGTATTTGATATTCCACTTAATTGAATATTTCTTAATTTGTTCAAAATTGCATGAGCCTGCTGTGTTAAGTCCATTATTGCATATGGGAATACCCACTTTCAGAAGAGAGACAGAAAAAAGTGTTAACCTGTTTGCTCTTGGTTTTTTCTTTTCCCACCTCTACCTTATTCCCAAACTGCAGTTCACACTTACTCGCTCCTATTTCTTTAATTTTCTCTTCTTCTGCCATTCTTTCTTCCTAGTTCTCATTTTCCTATGCTCGGCTCACTTTTCTTCCTATGGCTGCCTTAGGACTCAGCTTTTTTAGCTAGTTAGTGATATCACTACCCAGCCTTTGACTCCAAGAGACTAAATATATAAACAGACAACAGCCAGATCAAATATAAAAACATCTCTGACCCACAATCTACAGCAACCAGTCCAGGAAGCCAAACCACAATTTCTGTAGCAACTGGTCCCAAATAATCAGGACTTGATTGATAACTGATAACCTCCATATTTGTACCTGCTTTGAACTTAGGACCATCTGGAGAAAGCCAAATAGGCACCCATAACCAATCACATAGGATGCCCTACTTATAATTTGCCTGCCTCCAGCCTCCCCCATGCCAGCAGCCTCCAATCAGGGCACATCTGAAGCCTTCCTTTTCTTCCGCTATAAAGCTTTCCCACTCTGCCTGCCTTTGAGTCTCTACTAAAACACAAATGATGGTGGCTGACTCCCTTGCCATAGCAAGCCCTGAATAAATAGTCTTTGCTTGTTCTCATTTGGGTGAACTTTATCTATTTCCACAGTTTTTTCGTTTCACAAAATTGCCAATTACAGAAATTCTTTGAATAAATACCATGGCCTTGGCTTTTCTGGAGGCATTAGCTCTCTAGCTCCTTCCTTCAATTCCTCACTTTACTCAAACGCAGGCTATCCTTTAGGAGCCTTTAAAAAGAACCTCTTTTTTTTTTTAATTACATGTTTTATTAGACTGAAAAATGGTGAAATATTATTTAAATTGAATGTGCATCAATTCTTGTTCCTAAGCTAAAAAATAAAATCGTGAATTTGTTTCCATAAGTATAACAGGATGTCTAATAATACTTCGTCTATCAATGAACGTATTCTGAAAAGTCATTTGGTTTGTGTCAAATAGATACTATAAAAATAGAATGGGCTTTTTGTCTGAAACTATTATGTAAGGCCTCAGAGTTTTCTAGTAGTTTAATGCTTTCCATTCTATTCACGTCTTTGTTGAAGTGAAATGTAAAACAAAATAACCTTATATATGCATATTGGGACTTCTAACAGGTAAGGTTTCCATGGATACTTTTATACAGCCACAGAGTTTGTGTGTGTGACGAAAAGCATTCATTTCTACTTCTAAGCAATTCTGTTCTGATAAAGAACTCCTGCCAATCATTTCATACGTCTTGACTTTCTCAAAGAATAAAAATAATACGTATCATATGTGCTATGTTGTAAGTCATGAGATAGTCTGTCTCAGTAACCTTTCAATCATCTGGCCTATTCTAGGAGTGACTTGTAATTTTGTTAAAGCTTGAAAAATCTAAGAAGGTTTTATAAGCAAATTTTAATTAGTTTAAAGTATTGTCTTCTAGACCTGTATAAAGCATTTCTCTCTCTTTTTTTAAGGGGTGGTCATAATTTAGGCAGTTTAAATTACCCAATTACCAATGCTAAAAGAAAGGTTTATCTCTTACTTAAAATAGCATTTGGACCAGTTTAATCTTCTGTTGTATCTTGACTTGAAAATCTTCAAAAGTCTTTGACTGAATCTAATTTCCTGACATGCCAGCCAAATGAAATTTTCTCCTACCTTCCTATCTTTTGGAGAAACATCTCAAAAACGATGTAAGATTTCAGTTCATGGAGTAGCTGGAGCCCTGTGGTGGCAACAACTGAGTGATGACTGGCGGGTCACTTCTGTCCCCTTGCTGGCAACAGCAATGCCAGGAAAAGGCCGAAAGAATATCCATCTGTTTCTAACAAGTCCACAAAAGAGCCTCAGGGGCTCCCAGTGCAGGCTGTCTGTAGAACCATGGCCACGCCTTCCTCCCACCCTCCTGATCTGTAGATCCTCCTCCTGCTGAAGGACCTGGGTTGGTCTGAGCTCTCTCAGGATGCCTTCCCGCCCCTCCTCCATCACAGCATCTTGCTGCTGAAGCAGTTTTGTCTCCTGACTCGTGCAACCGTTCCCCTTTGCTTGTGGCTGAGACTCCTGGCTTCATTTTAGTTGTGTCATTTTGTATGTTTTTTTAAAAAGTTGTACACATTTTTGTTTAAAAGTAGTTACTTAGAACAGGAACAGAAAGGGGCTTAAGCTTCATCACCTTCTAGGTAATCCACCTCTAGAAGAACCATAGTAAATCCTCACCCCCACCACTGCTAGGTTAAATTTTAAGCCCTATAGTTTGTGTTCTTATTAGTGTTCTTACTTTATGTACTTACGTTTATTCTTTTATCTTTTTTAGTTGAAGTATAGTCAGTTTACAATGTTGAAACAATTTCTGGTGTACAGCATAATGTTTCAGTCATACATATACATATATGTATTCCTTTTCATATTCTTTTTCATTATAGGATACTACACGATACTGAATATAGTTCCCTGTGCTATACAGAAGAAACATGTTATTTATTTGTTTTATATATAATAGTATCTACAAATCTTGAACTCCTAATCTATCCCTTCCTACCCTCTTCCCCCACTGGTAACCATAAGTTTGTTTTCTGTCTGTGAGTCTGTTTCTGTTTTGTAAATAGGTTTGTCTTTTTTTTTAGATTCCACATATAAGTGATCCCATATGGTATTTTTCTCTCTCTTTCTGGCTTACTTCACTTAGAGTATTTGTTCACTTTTAAAAGAACAAGGCTCAAACTCCTTAAAATGTTATGTGGAGTCCACGATGGTCAGTCACGGTGATGCCATCCTTTGAAGTTTAATTTCCAGAAAGTTCCTTCCACATATAAAATAGTCTCTGAACTGCTGCTCTCCATTTCATTTTGTTCTTTCATGCTTCCAGACCTTAGCACTTTCTATTCCTTTGCCCAGAATGTCCTGCCAGCTCACCTCCCTCTCACCCTTTTTTCCCAATTTTCACCCATCAGACTCCTCCTGATCATTAAGAGACACTGTTAGCATCAGCTCTTCCGTGAAGAACACAGAATACACTGCTTATACTCCCGCACTCCCAGAAGTCAGGAATCCTTTACTCCGCACTTCAGTACCTGTCCTGCATTCCTCCAGTGCAGCAGTGTCACACTGAATTACACGCCTTTTCTGATATGTCAGTTTCTCCACAGAAAACTCAGATCATTTTAGGGAGGTAACACTGGAATCAGGATCATGAGGATTGAGTGTGAGGACAAGTTTTGTCAGTCCTTCACTGTACAATTTGAAAACTGGCTGTTCTAAGCTATAAGCCGAGGGACCTGGATCACATGACACCTGAAATCCCTCCCAACCCTAATGTTCTATAATTCTTTGGTTCTCAAATAGCATCCAGAGTATGTACGTGTAATAGTGTATTTTTAAATACACTATTTAATAACTATTTATAGAACTCCAACTATATGCCTAGAACTGTGCTAGATTTTTTTTGAAAGATAGTCAATGTTTGCCTTCATGGTTTATAAGAATTAGGCCTATTTAGAGTTACCTTGATAGATTTAAGCAAACAGAATAGTAAAATATAGGAGAAAAATACTCAGCACACTGCAAGAATTATATGTTTTAATAACTGAAAAATGTAACAAGCTACTTCATATGGTGTAAGTCAAAAAGTCAAGATATTTGCTCAAATGGTTTCATTAACTGTGAAAATATGTTTGCAGAAACCATGAGTTTTGATAAGACAAGTCTGTTGATATAGTTTTTATTTATTTCTCATGGCAAGATGTCTAAAAAAAAAATCTAATTAACTTGGGTTCAAAGTGAAAGCATGTCTTTTCAGATTTCCACGAAGTCGAGAGAGAGAGAGAGAGAGTGTATGTGTGTGGGTGTGTGTAGGTGGGTAGGCTCTAGTGTTCCAAATCTGTGTATTCCACTTGTTTGGCTTCTTTTGGTCAATAACAAATTCATTCAGTAAGCACGTTTTACCCCTACTTCCTACAAAATACTGTGTTGGCACCATGGATGCAAAAGGTCACATGAGGCTCTGGAATCCAAACCTAGCAAAAAAAAAGGGGGGGGGTGTGCAGGTCCTGGACAAATCAGCCCATGAAAGATCTCTGTGCACCCCTGCTCCCTAGTTCTCATCAACACCAAGGAAAATACTCACAGTAATAATAATAATATTCAATACCTTGCATTTGCAATTTGCCAAGGATTTTCATATCAACTCAGTAATCAGTGATGATGTTTTTGACCATCAATTTTTTCCATGATAACTTCTTCAGAACTTCTTTAACTACAACAGTCAGTCATCTTTCATTTTGCATATTCACAGTTTGCTCTGCTTACCTCTAGTCAGGCAGCTGTCCAGTGGGTAGGTATTATCATTTTCCTTGGTTCACCGAAGAGGAAAGGAGGAGGCAGAAGTGGTAAATAAGCTGTGTAAGTTCACACAGCTAGGAAGTGGTACCACTGGAATTTAAGTCCAGGAAATCTAACCCCCAAGTCAGTGCTGCTCAATACCACATTGTCATTTTATCCTGGGGGAATTAGAACCTAGAAATTTAAAAAGGACACATGCAGCTTTGAGGGAGAGTTGGAGTCTATAAAGAGAGAATGCTTTGGTCTTGAATATGTGGAGATTTATGGGCCAATTAGATGCATGCAGTTGAGCCTTGGGTCTTTTTAGTACCAGCCAATGAAGCTTCTCCTCCCTTCTAAGCCAGCGCCTAGCACCCAGAGCTCCAGGCATCTTAGATTCTGAAAATGGATCTGTCCCTCTGCTGAGATTTGTTCCAGCCCAGAAATAGCTCTTCCACTTAAGGGGGAATGTAAAGAACTCTTAACAAACCGTAGTTAGTTACCCTGGGGGAGAACAGTCTAGTAGAGAAAACCAAGAGACTGTGTACGGAAGTTAAAGTATAACGAAGACTTAAACACCAGTGCAGTTAAGAGACAGTGAGTGCCACCACTGACAGTAGGCAATGCATTGTTCCACTGCTCAGAGAGGGAGAATCCCTTTGCAGTTACGCAGTGTTGAAGGAAATAGAGCCATGGGTTCAGCCTGGAAAGTCTGATGCATTTCACCAACTAGGGAGTGGAGGGGAACATTCTTGGTGAAAGGAACAATGAAAGCAAAAATGTGACATGAGAAATATGCTTTGCGTTCTCAAATGAGGGTCCTGAAATATCACTTTTGGAAAAGCAGGTTGGATTAGTGGTGGCAGTAGAGTCAAGAACGGTTCAAGTCTAGGTGCAAGTTTGGAAATGAAAAGACAGAGCTCTCATTGATTCCCTAACTTGTGGAGCTAATCAAAACAGAAGCCTTTTTATGGGTACAGCATTCAGATTCTGCCATGGATCTGAGTTAAGAGATTCCTGCTTATTTGTCTTACTGGCGTCAAAACTGTTGGATGCTTGTAATTAAGTCACTTTTAGAATTCTGCCACCTTCAGCCACCTGGAGATTAATGTAGGCCCCCATATTCTGGAGAGGGCATAGGAATGCGGTGACAAATGTAGTGTATACTTTTATTTAATTGAGAAAGAATTAGCTGGCATCTTTCAATGTTTGCTTCCATTAAAAAAAAAAAACCCACAGATTTCTAAAAGGATATTTGGTGCATTAAAACAAATCAAAACAATGTAAGAAAAGACAAACACAAAACATTTTTTTAATTGCTCTGAATTCCACCACCAAAAAGACCTCCATTATAAACATCTTACAAGTATATGCTGTCTTTCTTTTCTTAGGCGGATTGATTTATCTCTTTACTTATTTATAATTTGTAATA